TTTTGGGGATTGGTTGGACTCTAGCTGTCTTCCAGCATGATGGAAAAATACCCGACCTGTACGAGACGGTAAACAACTTGCAGAGAATCGGTGTTAATTCTGGTGCACATTTTTTGAGGATAATGGGTGGAATTCCATCAGGACCGTTAGCCTTATTCGTTTTGAGACCAAGCAAAATTCGTCTGATAGTGCGTTGACGGAAGACGATTTCGGGCATTCGACTCTCAACGGGTGGAATGTCTGGCGGCACTTTTCCTTGGGAATCTAATGTAGAGTTTGCTGCGAAAATCTCTGCAAAAATATTTGCTTTCTCCTGCGATGTTGTTGCTAATGTGCCGTCGGATTTGGACAGTGGTGGAAATGAACTGTTAGTGAAATTTCTTCCGACCGCTTTAGCGAGGGACCAAAACGAACGGGAGCCATTGGGACAATCTATGAGTTTCGATCTTATCTTGGCATTGTATGTTTCTTTCGAAGCATCTATTGTTTGGCTGCAGTTATTTCTGGCATCAACGTATTCTGCTCTAGTCGCGAGGTTAGGGTTTTTGCGCCAGCGATGGTAGGCTGTTTGTTTCAAGGCAACAGTTCTAGAACAGTTTTTGTTGAACCAGGGTTTCGATGGTGATGATCTTTTTGAAGAATGGGGTATGTATGTGTCCATTCCGAGCATGATGATCTCGGATATTTCCGCAGCACACTGTGAAGGGTCCTCAGAGTCAAAGCATACTCTATGCCAAGGAAACTCGGAGAAAAACATGCGGAGACCGTCCCAATCTCCTGAATTGTAATGCCATATACGACGTGGGGGTGCCGAATCAGTTGATGGAATGAAAAATGGGCAGGTTGTGGAGATGAGTGTGTGGTCAGAATTGCCAAGTGGAGCTCGTACATCTATGGTGTAGGGTTCTGAATTATTAGTGAGGAATAAGTCAAGTATGTTAGCTGAATGGTTATTGGCATCGGGAATTCGTGTGGGTTCTTTGATAAGCTGCTCTAAGCCGTGAGTGATGGCGAAAGCTTCGGCTTGTCGCCCAGCTTCATCCGTTCTGTTAGAGTGTACGAGCCAAGCAGTGTTGTGTACATTAAAATCGCCCATGATGATGATTTCTGCTGCTGGATGGTTCTGTTGAATTTGATCAAGCTTCAGAGACAAGAATTCGAAGAGCTCTTCATAGGATGGATCATTTGGTGATAAGTAGAGACAACAAAGGTATTTGGTCTGTTTCTGGCTATCGAGCTTGAACCACATGACATCAAACTTATTTGGTTCCAAAGTTTTTTCTCGTTGACATGAGAGATTCGTTTTAGAGTAGAGGCAGAGACCTCCCTTGAATCTGAAACGTGTGTGGAGTTCGTACCCAGGACAGAGCAGATAGGTCGTATTGGTGGATGAATTGACCTGTGTCTCAGTAAGAGCCAATATGTCTGGCTTTTCAATTTGAAGGTGTCGATGGACTTCGTTGATGTTCTTACTTAGACCTCGGATGTTACATAGGTCTATCTTGAGGACTTTTTCAGTCGATGGTGAACCCCCTCTAGCACCTCTCGCCCGGAAATCCGAATGGAGAGGTATTTTACTTCCGGATAATTTTACTTGAGGAGAACTCATCATCGCTTATTCTGTATAGAGAAGGGAGGTTGGCGTGGAAGGAAAAGGAAATTGGGCTGGGTTGGGTTGGCCGGAACATCAACCAGCTACTGAAACACGGGTAAGTATACCCATTTCACAGTGCCTATGGTTGATGTGGTGGTATCGCACCGGGCGATGGCGTTAACCATCTTCCACCTATTGGCGTCCTTTTAGTCGCCTCCTACGACAGGCAGGACTTACCGTGGGGTTATTCTAATCCGACCACCACACGGACATATCCGGGGAATTAATAATTTACACCAATTTGCAGTCGTTTCCAAGTAAATAATAGCCTGTTGGATTCATCCCTCCACCCAATACATTCAATCAGATTGGAGCTTTGAATACCGTTCACACAATATCAAGGACTAAGTAATAGTTCAAGTTTCATTCGTTCACTTTGATCAGTCGAGTAAACTAAAAATGCAGTGCTCGCAGTGTGGAAAAGAATTCTCTGAATGAAGAAGTTTATTACGCCACTTGAGGGAGAGCAAACATGTTGATGACAATATGGGGGAATCATTCAAAAAAATCAAAATATCTCCGAAACATGAAATGAATCCAACGATTCAGAATGAACAGTTAGGACAAGGAAGAAGAAGAAATATTCTGGAAGTAGGAGCTGATGGAATAGAACGAATCAGTAGTGCATTCAAATATCGAATTTCAAGCTATAAGTTCTCTACAAAACATCATCATGAATTTTTTGATGATATAAAAAATGATGTCCTCTTCATTTTGACCGAATACATTGAAAAATTTCGAGCACTGAAATTACACTTCGATATGTTTTCGGTATACATAATACCTGAAAAAAAAGTCTCTGACTTGAAATCTTTCAATACGAAGAACAGAATTATAACTCAATTCACCAATTTAAAAGAAATGTATGAAGATTTCAAAACGGATATCATGTCGAAGATGTCAGCTATACAGGAAAAAGACTCATAATCAAGATGAGAAGTGCTTCGCTCATGCAGTCAACGCAGCCCTTTTTGCTGCTACTGGCAACCCCCAGCGTGTGTCCTCATATCCAGATTATTCGACACTACTCAAAAGAGAAGGTAAAGATTTTTCTGTTAAACTGACGGATACATCAAAATCTGAATTATTGAATGATATATCAATTAAAGTTTTCGGTCCTGATAATATTTTTAAGGATGGTAAAATAATAACTGAAGTAGTAGGACCATTATATTTTACTGAATGTTGAAAAATACTCATGTGAATCTTCTTCGCATCACAGATGATGAAGGAAACAGTCACTATTGTTATATAAAAGATCTTTCTCGATTAGTATCGAATCAGAAAACTGAGCATAACGGACGATGTTTCATTTGCAATGGCTGCCTTCAGTTCTTTAGAACTCAAAGAGAGTTAACGCTTCATGAGAGCAACGATTGCAATTTTATATATACCAAATTACCGACACGCGCTATGACTACTAATAAATTAGGGGAAGAGGTTCCTGAGAACATTCTGAAATTTGTTAATCTTGAAGAACAGCTCACAGTGTCATTCGTTATTCACGCAGATTTCGAGAGTATTCTGAAAACAATTGAATATAATGAACCTAATAACGACGAAGCATTCACAGTTAAAACCTATGAACATATTCCATACTCCTTCTTTTTACATCAAATGTAGCTTTGTGAATTCGTTATCGAAATTGATTCATTATCGTGGCATTGATGCTGCAGATTTATTTGTCACTGAAATAGAGCAAGAAGTTATTCAACTCTACAGTGATCATTTGAAGTATCCTAAATAAATGTTACCTCTTACAAACGTTCAGGAGGAGAGTTTTGGGAGCAGTACTACATGTCATATTTGTGAAAACATAATTGGGGTTAATGAGGTTATAGTCAGATACCACTGTCATATGACAGGTCACTATAAGGGCGTTGCACATTCTGAATGTAATTTGAATTACAAGATCCTCAAATTCATCCCCGTATTTTTACATAACCTCACAAATCACGATTGTCATCTTTTCATCAATGAACTGGCCTTTCTCAAAACATATTCTAGTTGAAAGTGGTGAGGGTGAAGTGAGAGACGTATATATGAAATTACGATTTCTTGACTCGTTCCGTTTTCTACCTGGATCTATCGATAAATTAAGTAAAACATCGCAGTCAGACCAGTGTAAGGAAATTAGGAAATATTTTCCTAATCAGAACGAGTTTGATCAAATCAGACAAAAGGGTATTTTTCCTTATTCATACGTGAATTCGATTGAAAAGTTGAATTAAACAAAGTTGCCACGTCGAAATAATTTCTTCGACAATCTGCGTGGTCAGGATGTAAGTTTGAAACATTACAACAGGGCCAAAAATGTATGGAATGTTTTCAAATGTGAAACTTTGGGTGATTACTCCGATGTTTACCCCAAATCTGATGTATTATTACTTGCAGATATATTCGAAAATTTTCGAGAATTTTGTATACGAATATATAAGCTCCATCCTGCACAATATTATACAGCTCCTTCATTATTTTGGGATGCCATGCTACGTAATACAGGAACCCAACTCGAACTAATCACCGATATAACCATGCTAGATTTTTTCAGAAAAGGTATTTGGGGTAGAGTTAGTTAATGTTCGACAAGGAAAGCTTCAGCTGATAACAAATTCCTCCCAAACTATGATAGCTACAAACCTAATTCATATCTTTTGTATCTAGATGCGACCAATCTTTATGGTTGCGCGATAAGTGAACCCCTACCAAAAGGTGAATTCAGATGGTTAACACAAGAAGAAATTGCAAATTTCGATTGTTCGTTATATAAAGATGATTCTGATAAGAGTTACGTTTTAGAAGTATATTTGGAATATCCTGAAAAACTACATGACTCCCATGATGACTTTCCATTTTGTCTAGAAAATATCATTCCACCAAATGGAAAACTCTCCAAACTTATTCTTAACCTTAATGATAAAAGTTAATATATTATACACTACAGAAATCTCGAACAGTGTTTGAAACATGGTTTGGTATTGAGAAAAGTTCACAGAATATTAGAATTTTCGCAAGATAGGTGGTTAAAATCTTATATTGATCTGAATACTGAACTCCGTAACAATGCTAAAAATGCATTCCAAATAATCTCATTGAGTATTTCACAAATTCAAAATTTGGTGAAACTATGGAAAATGTTGATAAACGGGTGAATATAAAGCTCTTATCACATTGGGAAAATGTGCGTGGCACAACTGGTGCTCAAGTTCTGATAAGTTAACCTCATTTCAAGTCGACTTTTGTATTTTCCGAACATTTGGTAGCCATTCAAATGAAATAGCTGAAAGTTTGCTATGATGAACCTTTATAAGTGGGTTTCTCTATTCTCGATATATCAAAAACAGTGATGTATGATTTCTATTATGATTTCATCAAGTCAAACTATGGTGAAAGCGCTTCACTATGTTACTCTGATACAGATTCGTTGAAACTGCATATAAATACTGATAATGTTCATGATGATATCAAAGATAATTCATTCTGGTTCGATACATCAAATTATACAGACAAGAATATCCATAACATCCCCCAAACCAAGTCTGTAGTTGGAAAATTCAAGGATCAGTATAGTGGAACCCTCATAGAAAGTTTTTATGGTACAGGAGCTGAAGCTTATTGCGTCCAGCTAAGCCATAGTGAAACATAAATAGCTTAGGAAATATCTTAAAGTGTAATATTGAAACAGCTCAACTTCACAAACTTCAAACAAATTGTTGAAGAAGGTGAAGTGGTTTAAAGGAAAATGTATGTTTTTTGATCATATTTGAATGTAATGTACACTGAATTGAGAAATAAAGTTGCATAGTCATCTCATGATGAAAAGATATGTTTTACCAGGTGTTGCAAAAACATTAGCTTGGAGGCATAAATCTATTGATAATAATACCTCCAGCAATAAGGATTTGCATTTGTTAATTGAAATAGCGGAAGACTTTTGTACCGTAGAAAATAATGATGATGAATTTTATGTAAGTAATTTTGATTTAAGATAGCCGCCGCCGGAAGTGACGTCACAACCGTCCCTGTGGTAAAGGTAATGGCTGCACGGGTGACAAGACGGCTGCCGCCGGAAGTGACAGATGACAAGTAACAGATGACGAGTGACAGATGACAAGTGACAGATGACATGGAACACAAGATGACAATTGGCAAACGCGGAGAGTGACCGATGACAAATGACAGATGACGATTGACAGATGACATGGGGCATGGAACACAAAAAGTGACGGATGACATGTGGCATGGAACACAAAAAATGACAGATGACATGGGGCATGGAACACACGGAGTGACAGATGACAAGGGACATATGACAGATGACATGGGGCATAAAACACACGAAGTGACAGATGACATTGGACATATGACAGATGGTAGATGACAAGTGACCTACGACACAGCATGGCACACAAGAAGTGACAGGTGACAGGTGATAAGTGACAGGTGATCATCGCCCCCTCAACCTCAAACCTTCTCATTTCACCTTCTTCTTCCCTTTCCCCCCTCTCCTCCCTTCTGTCCTGACGAGTTTCACGTGACCTATGAAGAAAATGGCCGACGTTGACAGTGACATGACATTTGATACCAGCGTTTCTTGAAACTTTAGCTATTGTGAAATTTGCGACGCAATATAAGAGGACAATGCCTCCATTGTTTGCAGGTGGCCAACGATGATCTCATCCTTATCTGTCCGAGAACAATGCCACCTTCGATTTCTCTATCAGACATATTCAATCGTGAAACAAAACTTCATTTGTTCTGGCCAATCGCCCTATAGAGCAGAGGTCATTGAGAAGGAAGCAGGAGACCTCCTTTGTTAGCAGGTAGCTGATGACGTCACAATCTCAAACCCAATATAAGGTCATGTCATTACTGTCTATGATTATAATTCCGAGTAGGAAGATTCTAATTGGATGGATTTTTCAGCTATCAACGCTCAATTTGAGGTCTTCAAGCCGACTGTTGCTGTAAGTAGCTGGCCTATCGACCAGTCCCACCCAATAGAAAACATTAGGGTGGCCCAGACGCAATTCGGAGAGGCTATTTTGCTCAAACTTGAGGCATTCAGCGTCTGTCTACCAAGGTGATTGCCACCTTCAAACCGCAGCTTCCGGTTTTTACCCCAGATAGATACATCTTGACTTGCAAGAAGAGCGAGACTGCCAGCACCAGACCTGCTCAAGAATATTAAGAATTAGAGTTGAGTTTAATATTATTTTTCGTTTGATATATCTCGCAACATGAATGTCAATAGTATTGCTTCTACTAGTGATGATATCGTTGAGAAATGTGAAAGAGAAGTGGAAATTTTGAGAAAGAAGAAGAATATATCAGCAGACGAGAGATTTTTATGGAATAGGCAAATATGGGCGCACATAAGAGAATTCAATAGGACAATCAGGGGGACCAATTCGACAGCGGGGGTTTTGAGAAAATCAGAAACTAATGTGGAACATTTGAAACGTTTTCAAAGTTTGATTAGGAAGTAGAATCATATTGGGGCGGGACTTGGCAATCGTGAAAATAGAGTTACATGGGGACTTGTTCAATCTGTTCTCGAGAGTAGAGTAAGGATGGGTGTCATAGTCAATTTAAGTCATAAGGAGTTGATGCAATTTTTGCAGGACGCATCGCACATTTTTAAAATTCAAATTAGAAAAATATTGAGAGAATTAACCATGTTGAAAGTCAACACCACCTTCTGTGGTGAGTTTATCAAGAAATCGGATGACGCGGAGATTATTGAATTCAAATAATTCAATACATAGAATGCTACAATGGATGAGAAAACGGATTCAGATTGTTGGTTCGCAGAGAATGTCATTGATCCTATAGTGAATAAACTTTCTGAATTCCAGGAGGAGGGTAGTGGCTGGGCCTTAAGAGAAATTGTCTCTTTAGAGGTTATAAACTAAAAATTGGCAATGGTTTATCTTTCATAGGATTACCTGACCAAATATCCAAGAAGCGTGCCTGCATCAATGTGGAAAACAATGATCAGGCATGCTTTTTCTGGAGTATCGTGAGCGCTTTACATCCTGCCTAGCTCGTATTCCCATTACAGCCAAGTTTTAAATACCGCAGGCTTGGATGTACCCATCACTCTCAACAATATCCCTAAATTTGAGAAACTCAATGATATTTCGGTGAAAGTTTACGCCTTGGAACTGATTCATGTGAAAAAGGCAGAGTATTTTGAAGTGGTAGGTACCCATAAAACTCACGAAACATAAACAGCCCAGACATGTCAATCTACTTCTCATTCAAAGTGAATATTTTTCCAAGCCCAACGATCACGATGCATTGCCTGGAGATGATTACGACGAAGAAATAAGTTATCATTATTGTTGGATAAAGGACATGTCCAGACTGCTATCTTCACAGCTCAATAAACATGATCATACAAAATATTTCTGTGATAGATAGTGTCTCAAGTGAACCAAAATTGGCAGATTACAGTGTTGTATGCAAAAATGTCAATGAATGCAGAATGTCATTCCCCAAATACGATTCGGTTATTTTCAAGAATCATATTCACAAGCAAAAGGCCGAATTCATCATCTACGGTGATTTTGAATCGGTCTTGGAGCACTGTCATGAAAAAATTTCTGAAAAAATGGTAAAATATCAAAAACACACAGCCTTCAGCGCAGGGTACTATTTCAAATGCTCATATGATGATAGCTTGTCCTATTACAAGAGTCATCGAGGTCCTGATTGCATGGATTGGTTTGCCATAAAAATGGCAGATGTCGCGAAATTTGTACACTCTAAAATCAAAGACATTGTTCCTCTGACTCATTTCCCAGATAAGGTTGGTGTAACACTTTGTCATATCTGTGAAAAGGCGTTTGCAAGCACTGATATCATCGTGAAAGACCACCATCATTTAACTGGTGCCTTCAGGGGGTGGGCGCATCAATCTTGTTATTTGGGGTACCGCAAGTCCTTCGTCGTGCCTATAGTTTTCCACAATTTTTCTGGATATGATTCTCATTTTCTTCTGAGAGAGATTGCCAAACGTGGACAGGTGAGCGTACTCCCAATAAATATGGGGAAATACCTTTATTTCACCCAACATAATACAGAAACCAGTATTAAATTCAGATTCATAACCTCTTTGGGATTTTTGGGTGATAGTTTGGATGAATTAGCCTCCAATTTGGATAGCTTTCAGAATTCAAGAGAAGAATGCAATCGATTAGATGCTTTCAGTAGTTAAACAATGCGGTTTGTAGGGAATTTTGGCAGTTGGCCCGCCTAATGGAAACCTATTACATTCATTATGACGTATAACGTTTAGTTTACTTAATAATAATTTTATTTAATTAAAAAAAGATACCGTATAGGATTTGAACTTTGGATCTCTGGGTTGGCAAGCCGACACGTTACCAAGTGGCTATGGGGGGTCCAATTTATCAACGTGCAAGTGTGGGTACGACTCAACTAGTCCCCCTGTTTTCGAGAGATATTTTTTGGAGGGCCATGAGTATGGATATTCGACATATGGATGGGTATATGGATATTTGGGGGGGTTCATTTTGCTTCATTGGGCCAATAATATGAGCAATTTAAATAAATATATTAGGCTTATGAATGAGTTTCAGTAAATATTTCTATGTTCTACATAGATTTGATTTTACGGTACTGCTAGTGTCCTCACTCGGATGTGAGTGGAAACTGTTTGCTATGCTTACCTTCTCCTATCACAGAGGTCTTTTTGAATAATCCACTCGTATGTGTTACGCTTCAACCTAATTCCGCGAGGTGTCGCTACTGATACTGTTTTCCAAGGTTTGTAGAACTGATGATTATTCTGTGTTTTCAATATTTAATATGTTTTGCTAGTCTATATGGCCGTTTTTTGTGTTCATAGAGTACCTAATTAAGCGAGGTGTTGCTACTGATACTGGTTTCAATATTTTCCGTTCTTCAAACCTGCCTTTGATTTCACCGTACCGCTGGGGTCCTCATTCGGGCGTGAGTGGAAACTTTTTTCTGTGTCTACCTTTCACAGAGGTATTTTTGAAGAATCTATTCATATGGTTCACGCTTCAACCTAATCCTGCGAGGTGTCGCTACTGATACTGTTTTCAATATTTAATATGTTTTGTTAGTCTATATGGCAGTTTTTTGTGTTCCTAGAGTAACTAATTAAGCGAGATGTCACTACTGATACTGTTTTCAATATTTCCGTTCTTCAAACCTACCTTTGATTTCACCGTACCGCTGGGGTCCTCATTCGGGCGTGAGTGGAAACTTTTTTCTGTGTCTACCTTTCACAGAGGTCTTTTTGAAGAATCTATTCGTATGGTTCACGCTTCAACCTAATTCCGCGAGGTGTCGCTACTGATACTGTTTTCAATATTTAATATGTTTTGCTAGTCTATATGGCTGTTTTTGTGTTCCTAGAGTATTCCTTTTCATAAAATAAGTATATGTTACTCCCAAAACATTGAAAAACGCACATTGAACACAAAAAAACGAACCGCAAAGCGTTCTGGATGGCGCCAAAAGACAAAATATGGAAATGATATAATGTTTCGCTTTGTGTACGTTCTTCTTGGAAAATTAGGTATTCTGAAGTCTTATGTTCCTATATTCTTTGAAAGTTCCAATTCCCCAATGTTATTGATGAAATATAAT